ATAAATATTTGTGGAATGACATAAGGTTAGCTGAAAAAGTGCCAGTATCATTGGGGCACCTGGAGCAGGGGGACAGAACAGGCTCCCACCCATTCCCAGCCCTTCCAGTAGGAGAAGGAGACCCCCAAAATCTTCTGTCTCACAACCAGACTTTTCTAAGTAGCTCCACTTGAGCCCAGAGGAGACAGAGCAGGGTCAGCTGCCCCCGCCATCTTCACTCTGATTTCCCACTCTCAGTCCAGAACTCAGACCCCAGAGTTGGCTGGACTGAGATGAACACTCAGGACTGCATCTCTGTCTCTCCACTGCTGCTTAGTCTGATAAAACAAGGCCTCCAAGTACAAAGACCTCCTCGGACCCCACTGGTGGGGCCTGGTCTGAAGGTAACTGATTTTTACTTCATAAACTGCATATTCACTTTATCTGGCCTTGCCCAAAGAGGGAAAATGCAATTAAGGCTATAATGTAATATACTCATGCCCTCTCCATCTAGGGCATAAGAACAGCGTGGCAATTTTTATTCACAAATGAGTTGTTTACTTGTCTCCAACCAAGCCTGAGTCATGAAAGTAACCTTATAAAATAAAGACGTTTGTTTTTACTGGAATAGTCTGACATTTATGTTTTCTTCCCAAATAAGAGGGCTGCAGAGAACATTTTGAAGCTGGGTCCATTAGACCAGTGATTCCTGGGGTGTGTGGGAGGGAGATTAGAATCACCTCTGAGCACTGGACAAAGCAGACCCCTGTCCTCACCCGCCCAGCCCTCCGCCTAGAAACACAAGGTTTAATGTTGTCACAGTGGCTCTAAGGCAACAGAAAGGAACCAGCACTTGGCAATTGACGACAATGGCAGAAAGGGAAAAAACAGAGTGTTCTCCCCAAAGTACAGGCTTCCCTTTTTTTTTTTCAAGGCAGGATCTCACTCTGTCATCCAGGCTGGAGTGCAGTGACACAATCATGGCTCACTATAGCCTCAACTTCCTGGGCTCAGGCAATCTACATGCCTCAGCCTCCCAAGTAGATGGAACTACAGACCTGCACCATCACACCTGGCTAATCTTTTGATTTGTTTTTTTGTTTTTTGTTTTTGGCAGAGATGAGTTCTCACTATGTTGCCCAGGCTGGTCTTGACCTCCTGAGCTCAAGCAATCTTCTCACTTCAGCCTCCCAAAGTGATGGGATTACAGTCTTGCGCCACCATGCCCAGCCTCTTTTAAACACTTGATGTTTAAAATGCTGCATTAGCCAGACTCAGTGGCTCAGCCTGTAATCCCGTGCCTTTGGGAGGCTGAGATGAGTGGATTGCCTGAACCCACGGGTGCGAGACCCGCCTGGGCAGCGAGACCTCATCTCTACAATAAATAAAAAAATCAGCCGGGCGTGGTAGCGCGTACCTGTAATTCCAGCTACTTGGAAGGCTGAGGCGGAAGGATCGCCGGAGCCCAGCAGGTCGAGGCTGCGGTGGTTGGGAGCGGCCACTGCACTCCAGTCTGGGTGACAGAGTGAGACTCCAACTCAAAAAAATAAAAAAATAAAATGCTGCATTAATGTAAGATGTTGTATTCCAGTGATGATGTCTGACCTCAAATTATGTAACTGCTCATTTTTTTACCTTCTAACAGGACATAGCTCTGTCCCCCATGAGCTTCTCTCCATTCCCACTGTCCCTACCTTGGCTCAAGGCCCAGCTTCCCCATCCACCCTCAAACCAGCCTCCTGCACCCTCTACATTTTTTCTGGACACCTCACTTCAGCATCAGGTCTCCACGCTCCAGTAGAGCGATCTTTTCAAAATTCCTCCTCCTAGTTCAGGGCTTTCCATTTCCCAATAAGACCCTCTCTGTGGCCTACAGGTGTGGCCCTGGTTGCCTGGTCAGCCTCTCCCTGCTCCTGGATCCATCTTCTTGCCCTGAGCTCCCTGGGTTGCCCTTGGGTCCTTCAGCCCCTGTGGCTTCTGTGCCGAATGATTTGCCAGCATCCCCCACTCCCAAAGTCAATTCCTCATTCAGCTCCAGTGTTACTTCCCTGCTCCCTAACTAGATCAACTCTCCAATTCTTCTGTCATAGCTCCTAGGCCAGATATGCCAGCTAACCCATTCTACAATGGATGCTCTATTTAAAGCTCCTTCCCCCCCAGAAGCTACTCTTGTTTTGCTCAGTATTTCCTGTACCTCACACAGTACTTGGAATATAGTAGATACTCAATAAATTCCGGAGTGGATGTTGCTGGACAACAAAATCCTCTCCATCACAGAATATGTCAAGTCAAGGACAGCCAAAGTTCAACGCAAAACTAACACTGCAAGACTGGGCGACACTACATCCAGGAGAAGGTGGCACTGCCTCAAGCAACTCTGCCTGCTGGCCCTGTGGCTGTTATCTTATCACACCAGAATCAGCAAAGCCCATCAGGGGAACTTGTGACTCATAGGAAGGGAGAAGGGAGAAGCCTTTGAGAGAGATAAAAGGACTGTGTTTTGATTCATGATAAAGGACAACAAAAAATATAAAAATCTGATTATGGATGAAATGTAGACATTTTTAAGGGTGCCCAGTTAAAACAAAATAAGGAAATCAGATTAGTAAAGAAAACTCTTCAAAAGGACAGACTCCACACCAGCTCATAGCCTTTGTTCATTGAGTTCTGTTTCTTTCCCACAAAGAATAGTTACTGGTGCCTCACTTTGCCTCCATATGTTTCCAAAAAATGGGTGAGTCAAATAATATCTGATGCCCTCGATTTAAAATATGCATAATTAGCCAGGCAGGAGGCTCACACCTGTAATCCCAGCACTTTGAGAGGCAGAGGCAAGAAGATTGCTTGAGCCCAAGGGTTTAAGACCAGCCTGGGCAGCCGGGCTCGGTGGCTCAACCTGTAATCCCGCGCCTTTAGGAGGCTGAGGTGAGTGGATTGCCTGACCCCGCGGGTTCGAGACCCGCCTGGGCAACTTGGCGAGACCTCATCTCTACAATAAATCAAAAATTAGCTGGGCGTGGTAGTGCGCGCCTGTAGTTCCAGCTACTTGGAAGGCTGAGGCAGAAGGATCGCCGGAGCCCAGCAGGTTGAGGCTGCGGTGGCCGGGAGCGGCCACTGCACTACAGTCTGGGTGACAGAGTGAGACTCCAACTCAAAAAAAAAAAAAAAAAGACCAGCCTGGGCAATATAAGACCTCATCCCTACAATAAATTATTTAAAAAATTAGCCAGGTGTGGTGGCATGCACCTGTATTTCCAGCTTCTTGGAAGGCTGAGGTGGAAGGATTGCCTGAGCCTAGAAGGTCGAGGCTGTGGTAGCCATAAGTGTGCCACTGCACTCCAGCATGGGCAACAGAGTGAGACTCTGACTTAAAAAAATAAAATATGCACAATGTTATCAAGACTGAGGAAAGTTTGTGTGAGTGTGTTGGTGTAGCACTAAACAAGGCTCACATTATGACTGACGGGAAGGCTTACCATGTCCTCCCCAAGGATTGCATCAGACTTCATGGCTTCAACCACCACCTCTTCTGACCTCGTATATAACATGCAGCATCTTCCGGGACATTGCACGTCCCCATGCACCATAGATTAAATCTGTCCATCTGGGCTTCTTCCTCCTCTTCTTGCAAATGGCTTCTCTACCCACCCGTAGCTACAAACCTGAGGGCCTTCCCGCCTCTGCCTAGGAGGCTGCACTCAAGAAGCCCCCGTGACCATGAAGAGCAGACTCCAGATCCTAGCGTCGCATGCAGGTGGAAAGACCATTGTGGGTGCGATGGACCTTTCAAGGCTCAGAACATGCTAGCAAGCAAAAGTGTTGTCTTCTGTGAGTAAAAGTTGCTTGTGCCAGTGTGGCCACGGCTCTGTTTCTCCAACATGGGCAGACACTGAAGACACTGAACTTCAGGAGTCTCTGGGACGGAACATGGGACCCTGGGCCAGCCACTGTCATGGATGCCTCATGAAGATCTTTTTGCTGCTGAATGGGTGTTTCAGGAGCACCCTTGAGAGGAGTCCATGTTATCATTCTTCACTGTCCTAGAACTTGGGCCTAACTCTGGTTTCTAGCACAGTTCTTCCTCTCTCCTTCATGCCTACAGATTTTAACTATAAAAATAGTGAGCATTGAATTGTACCCTGTGAAATGACTTCGGCTCCATACAGCAGAAAGTGTCTTTTCTTCTCTAGAAAAAACTTCTTTTACTGAATGATCATTTTACTCTCTTTAAAAAGTGGTGGCAAATAATATGAAATTATCCTCAACACCGCTATGTATACTCTGAAAAATTCATCGGAATTAATGCAATAGTTAAATAAAAAGGCAAAATATGCTTTTGGAAGTTTAGAATTTGCCTGCCTGTGAAAACTGCAAAGGAGAGAAAGACTACAACATGTTGGTAACTCCTTCTGTCACAGGCTAAAGTTCCACCTCGTGCCTGCACGCATGGTCTCTCTGCCTGGAGGGTGCATCCCCCACCCAGATCTGGACGTGGCTGCTTCCTTCCTGTCCTGTAGATCTCAGCTTTGAGATGCCCTCGTGCCAGGCGCCTCCCTTGCCTGCCACTCCCTTTCTTATCTCATTGCCCCAATAGCTGTATTTAGTATTTATTCTGTGTTTGTTGACTATACCCCTGTTTGGTCTTGCTGGCTGATGCAGCTCCAGCCCCCAAGCCAGGACATGGAGTGGGAACGAAGGGCTGGGATAAGGGCATCCCTCCAGTGCACTGCACACACCCATCCCTTTCTCCTCAGCTGCTGTCACAAAGTCGCTTCCAGCCAGGACACAACCTCTCCCTTTCGTCCTCCCTCTTTGTGAGTAGGTGTCAAACCAGCAAGAAGAATGGCACAATTAGACCACAGTTTGAGATCCTTTCTCCTTGTGGGAAATCACCAGTTTGATTCAGGTGTAAATACAACAGCCACCACATAAGTGCCACATTGTCCCAAGAAACCAACCCTTGGATCTGCAGATGCCTAGTGAAAATTCTACCATGCTGAGATTCTGTTCTTTTATTTCAGGTTAATTCCAAAGAGGGGTATATAGTCGACCTGGTGTTCAGCACAGAAAGCTACAACCCGGAGGTATGCCACCCCAATTCCTGAAGTATCCTCTTAGCAACTCCTACACATATGGTTAAATAAATAAATAAATGCAATCAAGAATATTAATATATCGTGGCTTGGAGGTTTGGTTGGGTATTTTTTCCTGCTTTGTTTTCTGTTGTTCTCAAGAACTGAAGAACAAAGCTAGACAGGAGTTCCAGATTGAACTTCACCTTCATGGTCTCACACAGAGTTGCCTTGAGAGCAGTCCATCATCTGCCCCCCTCTGGGCCTGGAGGAGAGAATTTCACAACTCACTCTCGGATCCCTCCTAGCACTTCAGAGTCGTTAGGATGACTCACTCTCAAATGCCAATGTATTCTTTTCCTGTCGGCTGGTGACATTTCTGGCTAGAAGTCCATATGGCTTGAGACCAACCCTGCCAGCCTACGTGCAGAGGCATTCTGTAACACACATAGGTGCAACAGGCAGTATCAGCCTCACTGCAGGTCTGACCAAGTAGACCAGGTTTTACCAAGTTTTCTTTTCCCTATTTTCAAGAAGAGAGTAGAGAGAAAACTAACTGATAAAGAAATTTGTTGACAAAAGATGCCAAACTGTGTAAGATATTTAAGATGGTTTATTCTGAGCCAAATATGAGTGATCGAGGCCCATGACACTTTCCCTAAGAGGTCCTGAGACCATGTGTCCACCGCGTTTGAATTGTAGCTTGGTTATATATATAATTTAGAAGGACAGAAGTTACAGGAAACCATAAATTAATACATGTGAAATTTATATTGGTTTAGTTCAGGAAGGCAGAACATTTCTAAGAGGAGACACGCAGGCTATAAGTGGATCCAAAGACTTCTGACTGACAGTCAGCTAACATTATCTAGGAATTTGAAAGCAGTAAAGGAAGTAGGCAGCTTGAAGAATGATAAGGAAGTCAAGTTTCTTGATACAAAGACAAAACTTTATGGGTGGTGGCAGACTTCAGAGGAGCAGGTGTCTTGAAAGATGTCCAGAGTCCCCAAAAGACAACTTTACAGGACCATGAAATATTTTGATTTTCCTTTTTTCTCGGTTACTTGATGCTATGCCAGAGCCTAGTTGGAAAGTAAATCACATTAAATAGTTAACAATATTAATTTTTAAAAGCCTGTCTCTCCAGGACCCTTACAGATTTGGTAAGGTAAAGAAAAAAAGGTCAGAGTTTAGTCAGCAAATTAGAGCCCAGTGAACTTGCAACCAGCCTGGGCAGAGAGGACATAAACCCAAGTTGTCCCCATGCTGGGCCAAGAAGCAGACTGGGCTGAGCAGGCAGCATCTGTGATTAAGGTGTTTCCTGGAAGTGAAGGCATGGCTCCCCCAGCCCTTAACATCCAGAAGAAGGCTTACCAGCATGCAGAAACAAGTTCTAATCTGACAGCAACATACTCTGACTTTATTAACCTAAGAATTAAAATTCTCTTAAAGCATAAGAGGTTTCTGACTTCTAGTGTTGCAAACAGAAAGAGTTAGAGTAAAGCTAATGGGAAAACAATCATTAGATGATGATGATGAAGATGATTTTGAGTCAGGATCTCACTCTGTTGCGCAGGCTGAAGTGCAGTGACATGTCACAGCTCACTGTCGTCTCAACCTCCTAGGCTCAGGTGATCCTTCTGCCTCAGTCTCCCAAGTAGCTGGGACTACAGGTGTGCACCACCATGCGTGGCTAATTTTTTATTTTTTTGGAGAGACGAGGGCATGCTATGTTGACTAGGCTGGTCTTGAACTCCTGGGCTCATGCGATCCTCCTACCTCAGCCTCCAAAAGTGCAGGGATTATAGGTGTGGGCCACCATACCCAGTTCACTAGAATTTTTTTTGACCAGCAACAGGCTTCTCTGGATTTGGTCCTGTGATACACGAAGAACACAGCTAGCTCACAGCAACGTTCCATTTCAGGGGTGGAGAGTTCTTTTATCTTCAGGCAATGAATGACTCTGATTTGGTGGAGGTTTTGGAGGGGAGGGGAAGGAAAGGGGAAAAAAAAGAAGACAATACTTGGTTCTTTTTCTCTTCCCTGGAAATGGCTTCAACATGAGGAGACCAGGTTCAAGCCACCTTCTGCTTTTTAGTATCCCTTTTTCAGAATTCTGCCTTCTCCATTTTTCTCTGTTGCACCAATAATTAGCACCTTTATCATTACCAAAATTACCCCCCCCCCAGAACCTGCAGGCACACCAGGAAAAGATGCCTGATGGAAATTATTTTTCAGTTTTTTTAGTTAGTTCTAGAAATAGGCTTATTAAGCAGATCTGATTATGATTACAATTTGTTTCCTTGTGGGCTTTTTCTTTTTAAGTCTTTTTTCTGGTGGTTGTTTAAACTGGGACTACACCCAGATTAAATTGAAAAAGTGAAAAGGTTATTGCCTCCACTACTCACCCAACCACATTGTAACAGGGGTTCTTGACTTGGCCCATGGGCGGAGGGGTATGACCAGAGGCCTATGAACTTCCTCAAATCCTAGTGTTGATGGTATGAGCATATTTGCATTTTTCTGGGAGTAGGTGTCCTGGCTTTTATGGTTGGGATACGGAATATGTGACCCAAAAGGGTTACATCTTAAAACATCCTAAAAACAATTCGTAGATCTGATGTCTCATTGAAGTTCCAGGTGTCTCTGGGTTGGAACCTAAGTAAGGGGGATCTCAGAATACCCAACATATTTACATTTAAATGTGAATGCAGATAAGCCTCCCTCAGGTCACTGAATGAGTTCCATTTGGATTAGATCTCAGGTAGAGAGACAGAGTTGGTACAGAGAGCCTGCACTTGGGTGTAAGGTGGGTGTGAGCTCAAGTCCCCGCTTAATACTTACTAGCTGTGGGATGTGGACTAGGCTCCCCTTTAAATTTCAGTATCTTCATCTTTAAAACTAGAAGGAAAAAAAGACCCAACTCACAAGGCAGCATGGAGTTTTCTTTCTTTTCCTTCCCTCCCTCCTTTCTTTCTTTCTCTTCCTCCCTTCCTTTCTTGGTGGAATGACACAATCATGGCTCACTGCGGCCTTCAACTCCTGGGTTCAGGTTATCCTCCCACCTCAACCTTCTGAGTAGCTGAAACTACAGGCATGTGCCACCTTGCCTGGCTAATTTTTTTATTTTTTGTAGCGATGAGGTCTCGAGGCTGGTCTTGAACCCCTGAGCTCAAGTGATCCTCCCATGTCAGCCTCCCAAAGTGCTGGGATTTACAGGCATGAGCCTGTTGTTATTTTTGTTCATAGAAGCCAGCCTCATCTTTTAGTTCAAGTCAATAATCTTGAGGTCCAGCTAAGTATTATGTTGGCCCACATTAGAGAGAAAAGTATCCACTGTCCTAGAGGTTTGAGCCAAGTGGAACTCAACAGTTATTGATGATGTTTCTTTGGAATAGGGCCAGCATCCTTGTATAAGGGCACAACTGGAAGGCAAGACCTTAAGTGATGGCAAAGAGTGAAGACCTGTTGTATTCTACAAAGCAAAACCCATTATGTCTACTGCTGTCAGATCATGCCTGCTGCCCCAGGACCTCTTCAGTCTTGTGTGTGCTGAGCATTGGGTAGGTGGGGGTGATCAGAAGCCATCTTGTTTAATTCTCAAATGTCTACTGCAGGAAGATGAGCCACGCTTGGGGAAGTGTTCTGCTCGAGTGTTTTTCAAGAATCAGAAACCCAGACCAGCCGTTAATATAACTTGCACCCGGCTCGTGGAGAAGAAGAAAAGACAACAAGAGGATTACCAGCTTTACAAGCAGATGAAGCAACTCAAAAACCCCTTGGATGTGGCCAGCATACCCGGTAGGAATCAGCATCTGGAATTTCTGTATTCAGGGATGTGTGTCATGACTAAATCTTACAAGGAATGATCATTTAAGTTTTTAGCCCTAAAGTAGCCCTTTAATTCAACTATAGATTGTAGTATGCCTCATTTTTGAAATTTAATTTTTAAAAAGTCCATAGCTTTAGGGGGTACAAATAGTTTTTGGTTACATGAATACATTGTATAATGGTGGAGAAGTCCAGGCTTTAAGTGGACCCACCACCCTGACCTGTGCACACTGTACCGGATAGGTGACTTTTTTGTTCCTCTACCCTCCCCCTTCTGAGTCTACAGTGTCCATTATCTCATTCTCTATGCCACTTCAGATCCTTAGTGTAGCTCTCACTTAAAAATCAGAATGCACAATGTTTGGTTTTCTGTTCCTAGGTTAGTTCACTTAGGATGATGTTCTCCAGTTCCATCTAAGTTGTTGCTAAAGACATTATTTCATTCTTTTTTATGTATGCCTCATTATTTAAACAAAGCTCAGAAGTGTCACTGTCTGCCCTTCAGATCTAGTACCTTACGGTAACTCTGCGAAAAGCTGTGTCTATTTCACCTCCCCACCTGCCATTCCATAATGGCGGCAACTGGTCCCGAGCCTCCACATCGGTGGGAATGAGGTCCTGGCCAGGGACCGTTGTCAGGGTGCCGTTGTCAGGGTTGAGTCCAGAATCTGAGATGACCTTTCTATTTTGGGTGGTGGCTTTGGAAACTGCAGATGACAATAGCCCTTCAGGGCCCCCAGCGTGCCCACCACCATTGCCTGCACAGGGCCAGGGAGCAGACTGTCTCACTCCTTCTGGTATACCTCAGCGGAGTAGGTTGAGCTCATTCAGGGCAAAGGCTGACGGGCAGTGGAGCCTCTCACAAGTGAGCCCTGCCCTCTGGAGGGACTCAGCCAGAGTGAAGCAGGGCCCATTCATCTGGCACCCGCCAGTGTGAGTGGGCAGCAGCTGGGACTCAGCACATTTACTGGCAAATCCAATGTTCAAAACCACAAAAGTCACAAAAGTCTGGGCCTGCACTTGGGTATTAAGCTTGACACTTGACCGCGATAGCCCCTCTCATCCCACTCTCTCATAGTTCACTCGTGTACCCAGATAAATGACAGACCCATGTCAGCGCTCCCATGTCAGCACCAACGACCTGTCCTCTCCATTCCTGTCTCTGCTCCCTGTCAACTTATAGAGACTGACCAAGTGTTCTTAAGGGGTGGAATCCTGCTCCTTGTGTCTAAAATTCCAAGCCTTGCTGGATGCCATGGTGCACACCTATAATCTCAGCACTTTGGGAGGCTGAGGCAGGAGGAGTACTTGAGGCCAGCAGTTTGAGACTAACCTAGGCTACATAGAGAGACCCTGTCTCTACAAAAAATGAATAAATTGGCCAGGTACAGATACACCTGTAATCCCAGCACTTTGGGAGGCTGAGGCAGGACTGCTTGAGCCCAGGAGTTCAAGACCAACCTGGGCAGCACAGTGAGACCTCATCTCTACCCAAAATAAAAAAAATATTAGCCAGGCATGGTGGTGCACAGTTGTAGTCCCAGCTACTTGGGATACTGAAGTGGAAGGATCATCTGAGTCCAGTAAGGTCAAGGCTGTGGTGAGCCATGATCACTGCACTCCAGCCTCTAGCCTGAGTGACACTGTGAGACCTTGTCTCAAAAAAATTTTTTTTAAATATATAAAATCTTTGCAAAATTGCATGAAATATTGGTCCATGAACAGTTACTTCATAAATTAATTATTCACTAAAATTTGAGTTTCTTAAAGTCACCAAAGGTAATATATTAATCACTGTATCCCTACCTCTAGCAGTGTCTGATTTAAAGTAAGTTTAAAAATAAAGCCTGTTTAATTAAAAAGTTTGTAGGTCCCAAAACAATGTTAAAAGAAAATTCCACCTGATTTCTTCATGGGTTCAGAAAAAGTGACAGAGATGTTGCCAACATATTGATTAGCTCTAAAGCAATTGATCAGAGGCAAAGACGTTTTGGCAGACTAGTAAGTAAAACCATCACACTGTGTGAACTTTTCAACCTAATTAAACATGCTTCTCAACTAATGAGACTTCAGATTAACTTGGAATATCATTATGACTCTCACTCTGCATGTCTATAGTACAACCAATATCCATCCATTGTCTTATAATAGATGTACTCAGTGTGGTAAGATAAAAGCATATCAATCTCTGTACTAACGTAGAAACAGACTTGAACAGGTGTTGGGAGCCGGCTACGGAGGCCCACTGAGCGTTAGGGATCAGGGAGGGCTGTGGACCTCGAGACCGCTAGGACGTGTTCGGGAGCCGTAGACCCCATTTTCCTCCCCCTTTTGCCATGCAGCACAAATAACCTAAAGGAACTCTGCTGGCCTAAGCTGAAGGCTCTGTGACTGTGACAGGCATGGCTCACTCTAGAAACCCATTGTTCCTGTTTCCCATAAACTGTGGTTTCGGCTTAGATATTAGATATAATTCAAACTCAGGTCACATTTGGGAGCCTTTTATACAGTACAAGCTTCTTTATAAGATTTAAAAGAATATTTGTAGAATTAGTATATACTTATGGAGAGCTGTTTTCAGCTTTTCAATGGTATAGATGATTATCAAGAGTGGCCCAGCACAGAGTTTGGGCTGGGCCACATTCCTGAGAGCCCAGCACGTACTTTGAACTGGGCTGCATTCTTTTAGGCCGGCTTTAGCTACAGTTAGTGTAAGGTCTTTTTTCTACCTGTTATAGAAATTGAATTTATTTTATTCATAGAAGGTATTGTAGAATAAGTCATGCTACGAATCATGTTAGTTCAAACATAATCAATCATAATATTTTTAGGTTTAATAAGAATATAGTTAACTTTAGAAATGTCATTGTCTCCACTTTCTACTATCGATGTTTTGGCCTTAGTACATTTACAGTTTACATTTAGGTTTTAGAAGCTTTGCTACTGCTAATCAGCTTTATATATTAGAATTAAGAATTGGAAAACTTTCATAGAAATTAGGATAGATATATAGGACTTTGGAATAGCCATTTTGTTAAGAGATTGTAGTCTATTGTTCCAAAAGGTGGCCCACCGTGGACCTTGGACGGGGCCACATCCTGTAGGGCCCAGTGTGGTCTTTGGACTGGGCCACAGTCTTTAGGAAATTGGCTTAAGCTATAATTAAAAGCTTCCGTAGCATTGTGTAAGTAGTAAAGTTTAAGATAGTCATCATGGGTTTTGTGTAAGCTCTAGAAGTTATTGATTATCAGAGCATCATTAGGCTAGTAAGGATTGTTACACTGCTCTTGAAGAACATTAACTAGCAAAGGGAACAATGAGACAATCTTGGGGTTTGTTCCTCCTCACACCTAAGCATCTGGTG